AGTACTGAACTTAGCTTACGCTTTTTTTTTATTATTATTTTTTTTTGCTTAGCAGAATCAATGTGATTTTTTTTTTCATCTATAACATACAGCATTTAGCTTAACTTTCTTCTGCATTTGTAGAGATCCCAAAAAAAAAAAATTAAAAAAATTTCACTGTTTTTTCTGATCTTTGTGCTCTTTTTGGGATTTTTTTTGTACTGGGGAGAAATAGCTATGAGAAATTCCTTTTTATTTTTCAGTTTGATAGCTTTTTTTATTGCTCATCTTCAATTTCAGGTTCATGCTGCTGCTCCTGCTGGTAAGACCCAATTTTCTGATTTAATTTGATTTGTTTTTTTTTTTTTTTGGTTGATGATGATTGAGATGATTTCTGTATGATATAGGTATGCTTTAATTTTTAATTTTCATAAAAATTGAGGGTAGGGGAAGGGGAAGGGATAATGGGTGAGGGGATTACGGGAATCGAATCCTCGCGAAAAATGTGAAAGTTTAGTAAGTCAATCAACTGAGCTATTAAGATTTCTCCGGGTTTTTTCAATTGATTTTGAGAATTTGACTGATTTTTTGTTTTGTTTTGCAACTCAGGGCCTTTGATTAAGCACTTGAATTCTATACTCAAATGGTCTAGGTCTACCTCTAAAACTCCTCAATCAGGTTAACTTTTTTGTTTTTGTTTCCTTATGTTTGATTTTACATTTGACATTGAAAATTTGGATTTGAGCAAAAGTGACTGAATACTAGCATTGGAAATTTGACTGTGTGTTATGTTGTTACAGATGGAAATTTTCTTCATTTCGAAGAAGGCTACTTAGTTGAGACTGTTGTAGAAGGAAATGAACTTGGTGTTGTGCCATATAAGATACGCGTCTCAGAGGATGGTGAACTCTTTGCTGTTGATGCTATTAATAGTAAAATCGTTCGAATTACTCCCCCATTATCTCAATGTAAGCTTCTTTTTGGGTTGGAAAATGGTTGAGAATGTCTGTCTTGTGGACGAATGGAGATCCGTGGTTTACTTTTGATTTATGTGTCTTTTGCTGATTAAGATTGCTGACTGTGCAGATAGTAGAGCAAGATTAGTTGCTGGTTCATTTCAAGGTCACACTGGCCATGTGGACGGGAAGCCAAGTGATGCTCGTTTCAAAAATCCAAAAGGAGCTACCATGGACGACAAAGGAAACATTTATGTTGCTGATACCTCAAATCTGGCTATTAGGAAGATTGGAGAAGCAGGTGGTTGTTATTCTTGACATCTCGCCTTTGTTTTGAGACATATAACATTCTAATTAATCTTCATTGGGTTACTTTTATGTCTCATGAAAAAAAGTAGTGTGAAGTTACTGTATGGAAGTAAAAGGAAAATGATTGAAAGATCTTGTCTATCAAGTAAAGGTCTTCGTCTTTCTTATTTTCAGGTGTGACAACAATTGCTGGAGGAAAGTCTAATGTTCCAGGATACAGGGATGGGCCAAGTGAAGATGCACAGTTTTCAAGCGACTTCGATGTAATATATGTTCGTCCAACTTGTTCATTACTCGTTGTTGATCGAGGTAATGCTGCTCTTAGGCAAATTTCTCTCAGTCAGGAGGATTGTGACTACCAGTACAGCTCAGTGTCAACTATAGGTTTGAATCCTTAAGACTAGCTGACTTCTTTGATCTTCAATTACCATCAATAGTATCTACTATCTAGTAAGTGTTAAGTATTCTTGATAGGTATGTGATATGAACAAATGCTTTAGCTCTATCATTCGCTGACTAGGTATATCCATGTACTGACTTTGAAATCAGTTGGGTACGTGGTGTGCTTACCATTTTCTCTTTCAGCAACGAAATGTGTTCCGACTCTTACATTTGGAGTTGTAAATCTACATGAAATCTCATTTTGGCTAGCATTTCTTTCAAGGCTAAATGTTTAGAATTTAGCAGAGTGAATTGAAGTTCAACTTGGTATGAGAAAATCAATGATGATGCAATGCGTTTCTTCTTGAGTAAAGACAAATTTTGGGCTCTTTTATTCTGTTAAAGTTACATATTGAGTTGAGTTTGTTACTGAAATCCGAGAACTTAGACCCATATTCAGGATTGGAAGGCCCTCGGGATTTCTCAGCTGTCAAAAAAAAATTTGATCTATACTTGCACTTGTTTGTGTCCAACTTTTCCCCTGCTCTATAAGCATATCTTGCTAGATCCAAGTAAAAACGTATTAACACCTAGTACTCACTCTCAGATGAAGATGTGAAAATGACTTAGAAAGAAGAGAAACCATAGCTAGTCTCACGCCCAAATTCGGAACTGCTAATTAATGAATGGATATACAGAATATTTACTATATTAGGTTGTTCTGTTTGTGTAATTTTAGATGTTTACCACTGGTTGCTTAAGCCTGGCATGGTTCGCTTTGGTGCTCTCTAACTTCATCTTATACTTGTGGCAGATGTTCTCATGGTTATTGGTGCTATTATAATAGGATATGCTGCGTGCATGCTCCAGCAAGGATTTGGCTCCAAGACGGTAGGTGATTCTGATCCATGGTCTTCTTTCTTGCATTACAGGTTGTGATTATTTTTCTAGCATCCATCTCTCAGTCCAGTTCTTATTGATTTTCATGTTCTTGCCTACCAATGAAACGCTGGAACACCCTCAAAGATCAACTTAAATCTCTATTATTTTTTAAATTAAATGGAGGATGTACATTTGAGGAATATCAGTGATTGCCTAAAGATATTACTATGTCAGTTCAGTCTACATCTTGGCATATAAATAGGAGTTCCTCGTTCGACACATTTCTTCTAGTACCCCATTTGTCAGGACATTCACTTATGAATGAGTTGTTTATCCTTGAGGAATTGCATACAAGATTTATATGGCTTCAAAAGTCATATTGTTAAAATTTTCATGCTTTATATGAAAAGACAGGCATGTGCTTGGTATCATGCTATTCGCTAATCGTGTATAGTTGCAGCAAGTACGTGTGGAAGTGGAGCAACAGGAACCTTCTTTATTGAAGGAGAAGCCAACCCCTGTTGTTGAAACTGTGAAAGACGAACAAGAAGCAGGCTGGCCATCATTTGGACAGCTACTCTGGGATTTGGCCAAGCTTGCAATAGAGGGTCTGGGTTCCCTTTTTGGCTATGCCGTTCCTTTGCGGCTTAGACACAAGAGCTTCATTAGACCCGGACTAACTCCATTGAAAGATTCACTGATCATGCCTGAAGATGAAGTTCAACCTCCGTTAGTTCAAAAGCAGAGGGCTCCAGCACCTGCTTCCGAGATCAGTCATGTCCCAGCTGTCGGTGATAAAGTAGTACCCGAGGGCAAGCCTACCAAGATTAGATCCAGTAGTTCAAAAGACCCTAACTTGTCAACCAAGCACAGGTCTTCCAGACGACATGAGTATGCAGAATACTATGGAGCCTCAGGTGAGGTTCCTTCATTCGTGCACGTGAGGTCTAAAAGCCAGAAGGAAAGAACCAAGCATCGGCGACATGATTCAAGTGTTGGAGCAGCAGGAGTCGAGACAAAACCTGCTGATCAAACGAAAGCAGTAAACTATGAGGATCCAAAGTTTGCCCTTTACAGCATGAGGAACAAGTATGGAGACTCTTTCCCCCGGTACGCATGACTCTACTAGCCTCACTAATGACTTTAGTTTTATAAGCAGGGAAGGTCAAACCTTTTTGTCATGTAAGTTGTAACTCTAATATTAATGGAAGCAAGTCAGTCAAGTCATATGTGCTGTATTGAGTAATTTCACAGATTTTCCTTCACTCTTTTCTGGAGGAAAGAAAAAATCTTAAAGTAGTGGCGTACGATCTTGCCGGGGAGTGAAAGTAATAGGAAAAGGATGAGACATTCATGTGATATCTGAGGTTTGAAAGATGACAGCCGTGATATTCTTGATGATCAAAACAGTTTTGGTCCTAACTTGTGGAGAATCCTCATTCCTATCCCCTTAATGAAGCCAGCAGGCGAAATGACGATCGACTCACAAGAAAGTGTGTTAGTATTATTATTACATAAGACTTTTGTGTATGTTGTATGAACTTATCTCTCAGTAATTGAATAGAATTCTGTCTCATCATTTTTATGTATTTTGCAGTTGTATAAATGATGCTGGAAAAAGAGCTTTTTTTTTCTAGCAAAAAGTGAGATTGTTGAAAGTTGGACTGAAATGAAAATTAAAAGCAAGGACAGTTTTAACGTGATAATCACTACTAAAAATAGTGAAAAGTTGAACTCTTACCAGTCAACGTCCAGTATGATATTTTTATCACTTCTACAATGATGGATGACAGGTCTATTTGTCTATTTGTGAATCACTAAAACAAATTATCGAATAATAATGGAGTAATATTTGTTTTGCTGTTTCGTATGGGTACCTATTTTGGAATCTGACTAATTCGTGTTAGTGCCAAGAAGTTCCATTTTGCAGTTCCATTTTGGGGCAAACCGCTCCTTAATGAAAGCTTTGAATTTGAGACATCTAATCAAGAATTATTGATTACTTACCAGTTATCACTCCTGCACGGTAACCTGATATAATTCTAGTAATATTTCTACCATAGAATATCTATCAATAACAATATGTTCAGTGTAATCCCACAAGGTGAGGCCTTGGAAAGATAGGATATACACAGACTTATCCCTATTTGGCTACCTTGTGAAGATAGAGATACTGATTTTTAAAGAATCTTCGACTAAACTATAGTATATCTATCATGTAGACTAATTTTCTTTTTAAAATGCACAAAAATGGGACGTTTTACATCAAACCAAAAACTTTTAAAAATTAAAGCGAATGTATATGAGATATAAAAGTGATAACAAGTTCCATCTTTTATTTTTTATTTTTTATGTTGATCACATTTTTAATTATCTTCCATGGTGAAAATTTAATATCTAGTGGCATAAAACGGTGTAATCACGAGAAAGCAATTCAAAGCCAACTACCGATATAACTTTCCTCTTTAATGTTATTATCCATAGTTATAGTAATATAGTATTTCAACCTCATTATTTTCTTACATCTCATTTGCCAGTTTTAGGAATATTTCAACTCTTTAACAATTTTTGAAAAGTTATATGCCACTATGGTTTATGTGTGTAACTATAGGGAATTTGTATGCTAAAAAAGAAACACTATGGGTTCTTGTGGATCATCTCATGTCAAGCCCAACAGTTAGTATTTTTTTTTTTTAATTTCTTGATTTAATTTACTTGTTAATTTTAGCTTAATTAGTTTGTGAAATTATAGTTTTCTTTTAAATAATTTGAATTTAGGGACAGGGAAAAAGATAATAAGAAAGCCAAAACCATGGAAGCATCCACAACCAATAACAAGAAGTCAATTGATGCAACTGAGGGAAGAGTTTTGGGACACTGCTCCACACTATGGTGGCAAGAAAGGTACAAATAATTCTCTAATCATCTCATTAAAAAAAATTAATTAAGTTGTGTTCGAGAGAGCACACTTTTATTCGCGTACGTTGTTTGATTGATTGTATCCTCAATAAACGATATATATCTTTGGATCTGAATCTAGAACTTTCAACACGAAAGATAAATTTATGTGTAATAATTCAATAAAATTATAACAAAATAATAGGTTTGAATCCATAATTATATACTAAGTATAATAGGTTCGATGCAAAATAAATCTTTGGATCGAATATAATCATGGAAAAATTATCCAAATATACATCTTATTTTATCATAATCTTTAAAATTCCCTACAATTTAAAAAAATTTCAAAAATCCTCTCTCAGATATATTACTTCCCTTTGGCTAATACATCTCTATCGCTCTCGGATACATCTCTCCCCTCTCGATACATCCCTCACTTCTCAGATATATCCCTCTCCTTTGTATCCGGTTCGTATCCCCTCTCTGAAACAATATTCCTCTCCTTTTGAATACATCCCTCCCTTCTCGGATACATCCCTCGGCTATGTATCCGAAATCCATAAATTTTAAAAAACTAATAATTTGTTAAAAAAATATAAAAATAATGTAATTAACTCTTAACACTACGTGATTTAGGTAAATTATACAATAATCATCTCAAACCTCCACTCCCACCCCCACCCCTAACACCTCACCAATATAAAAGTTTTTTTTTATTGACTATACGTGATGATCATACAATTCAACATGATACGAAAGCAGATAAGACACGAGTTTATAGACATTTATTTATTAACTCTGTAACAGAAATCTGGGATGCGCTTCGGGCTGCTGCAGAAGCAGATCTAGAACTAGCTCAAGCAATTGTGGACAGTGCTGGAATTATTGCCCAAAACACTGACATGACCATCTGCTACGATGAATCAGGTACTTGTTAAAAAAAACATATCTTTCGCCTTAAAATTACGTTATTTAGTAAGGTTAAAATTTTAGTTTTATGCATACATATGTTATATGTTTCAAACCGTTTTTACTTGAGTTGAAAGTCTATCGGAAACAACCTCTCATCTCCCCGGGTAGAGGTCAGGTCTGCATACACATTAATTAGTCATAACCCTACTCATTCTTACTTTTGCGATTCCACTGAATATGTTAGTATTATTGTATATATATATGCTAGATGTTGACTCCTCTTATTTTTTATGTGCATCTATTTTTTCATATTTTGACATACCTTAATAAGAATTTTGTCTCCGCCACTAATCGTCATGTCTCCAAGAGTAACGTATTTATTTGATCACGCAGATTATATTCATAAAAAATGTTATTTTACTAATAGAAATTAAACATGATTTGTTGCAGGTACCAAATATGAACTACCAAAGTACGTTTTGAGTGAGCCAACAAATATGATAAGATTTGGTTGACAACATTACAAGAATAAAATAGAAAGTCACTTTGGTGAATATGTTGTCTCTACCACATAACCTTTTTTTTTCAAGTTTAAAAAAGTGGCGAAGCTATAATTATCACTTGGAATGAACCAATTCACCCCTTCTTTTTTTCTTTTTTTTTCATTTATCGTCCCAATATTTGCTAGAAAATATTCACATGGTAAGGTCTGCGTATACATCAATCTTTTCAGATCTTACTTGTTGAATTACACTTGATCGATAAGTTATTGTTGATTTGCTAGGTATATTAGGAGTTGAGACTGGAATAATTGTGAGAAATTGGATGTCAATTCCAAACTTTTTGTTATGTGCATTTCATTCTATTAGTACATATAAACTAGTTTTTTTTCGAAATGAAACTGCAGATTACTTGAAGCATGAATAGTTTCAATTACAACTTGAAATGTCTCTTCAATTACCTAATCATACCATCACGGTTTTTCTAATACTCTTAGTAAGATCATATGCATTTCCTCTGCATCTAAACTTAGTTCACAGCATGACTGTTGAAAACGTAAACCTCATCGTAACCTTTCCTGCAAGACAAAAAACATAAATACATCAAATTACTGGAAAAAAATTGAAGTGATTGCTTACTAGAAATGTAAAAAATGCAGAATTACTTACCCAGTCTTTCCACTATAAGTGGGATTGTAATTGTAGATGAGATTGTCGAGTACTTTTTGAGCTTCTGGTTTATTAGAAGATTTTCTTGCTTCACTGCATTAATACATTATAAGTGAAAGCTTTCAACCATAAATACAATCGTTGAATAAATGAAAACATTAACAAAATCTGTAATTGTTAAACTAGAGTTTTTCGCGAGTTTCACACTCCAATTATCACTTGTTTCCTTACTGAATTTTGGCTTTAGGTCACCCATTCTATTGAGCCGCCTCTGTATCATACTCTTTTCCTTTTTTAGCATTATCATTCTTTATTTTGGGATCGGAACGAAAGGTGATGTACCTGACAAAATAGTTGGCAACAAGTTGAGTCACTTGAACTGCATCTTCAGAATGTGGAATTGCTGATAATCCCCATTCAAAAGCACTTTTCTGCAGCAATGAGAACAATTAAACCAAATGAATTCAACAAGAAGAAAATTAAATATGTTTGAGTCGGCTATATGAATCCTCACGAGAAACGTCTTAAAGTGAGGATATTATATTACCCTTCTTAACAACTTTACTTGTACTAATAGAATAAGAGAACAAATCATCATTGTACCTCTGGGTGCCACTGTAAAGCAGTTATGGGATAGTTCTCTGCTTTAACAGTAGAGACATAGACCTGATTCATTGATTAAGAAAATTAGATCACTCATCGTAACAATAATATATCCAGTATAATCTCACAAAGTGGGATCTGACGAGGGTAGAGTGTAGACAGACTTACCCCTACCTCAAATGTAGAGAGACTGTTTTCGATAAACCCTCAGTAGAGAATATATCATTGTATTCAATATGTATAAAAAAATTAGGGGAAGAAAATATACTTATGTACCTTGTTGCGTGTGTCTGTGCTAGTAGTCAACATAATGAAAAAGCTAGATAGATCATCATTTGCTTGAAATTTGTCTGGTGATAAACCATACTGTTGCATGAGAGGAACAAAAAGAAAATCAAAATATTTAATTTTCCTGTTATCTGTGCTGGTGAGAGGTAGTAGGTATTTCGTACAATTAATTGAGATGCGTGCAAGCTAACCCGAACACCAGAATTATCAAAACAAAATTCATTGCTAGAGATGTGAAAACATAATTTTCAAGGGCTCACCTTATGACTTTGTAGCACAAGGCATTCTTTACTCAACTTCTTTATTAATGTAGGTGGGAACCTGCATAAAACATATTAGCCAAATAAACAAGAATCAAAATGCATTGTTATTAATCAAATTGGTCATTAATATTAGTCTTGTAATTAGTTTGGTGATTAATAACTAGTGATGATCTTTAATACCTCCCAAATACTGTATCTTCAATATTTACAGTTTCCACAAAATGGAGTTTGGTTGCCTGATTTGATACACTGAATTTCTCAAGAATGTTGTTGTCCTGTTACAAAGGAAAAAAATAAATTGGAAACAGCAAAATATTAGACCTACTGAGCAGTCCGGTGAACTAAAGCTTCCGTTATGGAGAGGTCCAGGGAAAGCTCGAACAAAGGCTAATTCAAGATTTGAAAACTTAGGGTGCACCAAATATGATCTCTAAGCTAATGAATTTAGCACCCTAGCTGGATTTGAACTCTAGTCTTGCGAGTAGTTCCTCTGCCTTGTACCAAGGCACATGAACACTCCTATGCTTTTCATGGATGCATTGTTAATTATATCCTAGTTTCTGACAGTTTCTCAAGATAAATATACATATATATATATATATATACATGATTTTTTTCCGAAATTAACAAGTACACGTGCACCCCACTAGTAAAGGTGGGTCCGCCTCTGGGCTCGGACGACAAGGGTCTATTATACACAACCTTACTCTGCATTTGACCTTCTAATTGCAAGTCAATAACTTTACCAGTTACACTAAGGCTCCCGTTCTGTATAAACTGCTCAATACTTGAAAAAAGCCCTAATAAAAAGATGTAACAAAACTTGTTACTTATTATGTTTGAAAAGTTTATATTGTGACCAATGTACACCATGATAAGGAACAGTGATCAGTATTTTTACATATATATTAAATCAGGAATATCCTTAACAAAATTTCTGATATCGGTATGTGTATTCATGAAAAACCTTGGATACAATCATCATCAAAAGCTCAAATCCATGGTTGATGGCAAGGAGAGGGAAATGTTCTCCGGCATCATTCTTCTCCAAAACTTTCTGCAAGTATCACCAAATGAAAATATATGTAGAAAAATTAAAACCAGACAAATATTATATATTATGAGCATTTAGTTGATAACATAGTAAATGATAACTTATTTGTATATGTTTATAACATGTTAAATTACAGTGATAGTGTAAAACGTCCTATATTGATAATGTATATAACTTAAGTCCGTAAATAGTTACCCTAAAAATTGCTTTGATAGTCTCAAAATAGTGTCCTTTCTTAGCCCAGCCTCCTGGGAAGATCACTCCGTTTACTAGATTAAGTTTCTGCAAATAAAATCCATGTTAGTAATAAAGATTGTTAAAAAACTTACTTACATTAGTTACATATGTGTTTACACAATTACACCAAATCAATATGTATTTTGTTATGAGTAAGTAATAAATGTGATAACACAAGAAAACAAGAAATTAGCGACTAACAAAATTTCATAGCTAAACAACAAAAAATTCCATGCTAATTCTATTTAGATATGGATTAGCGATGGATTAAATGAACAATCCAATTAGCTAGGACCTATTTCACGACAAATTAGCTAGGAATTACTGATAAATTTCATAGCTAATTTCATATTTTCTAGATAATTAAAAAAAATCACTCCATGAAAAGATATACTATGTTGTACTATAAATATTGGGTACAAATAAATCTTTTTATGAACTTTATGTAAAAGCTTTTAAATAAGAATTCAAATTTAAAAAAAGGAGGCAAATAAAGTGGCTGACTTGATTGAGAAGTTGAGGAGAATCATCAAAGAGAAGTGGAATGACCCTAGCACCCCCTGATTCAACTAACTTCACATACGAAGCAGCAATGTAGGACACTCCGGTCGAATTATTTATTCGACCTGAGTCTCCGTGACCGGGATGACTGATAATCCCGATGACTGGCCGGTAATTAAGGTTATGGTCAGGCAAAGGGCAGCCGGCGGGGACAAACAGCTCCGCCGGCTCAATGGCGGTGACCACAAGGAAGAGAGAGATAGTGAGAAAGGAAATGAGGAAGTAGTTAGACATTTTTTTAAAAAATTTAGAAGATGATGAGAGTGTGTAGTGATTGTGGTGCTCTTGTTTTTATAGAAGAACTACTACTCATATTACATAATATTAGATATTCGTCCGTTTCAAAGAGAATAACATATTCCTGTGTCGGAAATAAAATAACATATTTTAATAACCTACATAAAAACATCACAAGTCTCAAACATTTTATAGTCATATGGATGTTAAGAATTGCTTATTAGATTTGTGCATAATCAGATTACAAACGAGCAGAATAATAACTCATTCTAAAATTAGTTATTATTTATCTCTCCTATCAAACGAGCTTTACAGTCATTGCATGGTACTTGTAATAATTGAAAGTGATAATATGCCCATACAAAGGAAGCTGCAGTCACCACTCGTACTCACACCTCATGATGGCTCATGCTACTAGTTACCTGTCACACTCAGTGTTTACAGGCTTAAAAATTTATACTTGCATTAGATGTTTACGTCAAAACAATCCATTTTTTGCATACGTTAAGGACCATTTCTGTTAACGCATACATATCAAGGACTAAAATAGTCCAAACCTTATACAGTATAAGGACTATTTTGGTCATTTCTCTGTTTAATTTCATGCATAATATCTAAAATAACTTTGGCAAGACACTGTATTTATGTTTTAAAATGTTTCTTAATATGCATAAATAATACATAATCTCCATTAAGATAAGGCTTGTGGTCCAGTTGCAACGCGGTTTACATCACACACTAACATCAACTCTCGAGTAGAACTTCATATGCATCAATAAGATTGTGCAGTTGTTATTGCTCAATTAAACTGGTGTTTTTTTCTCTACATAGAGCTCGAGGAAGAATGCGGAGTGAAGAGATAAACCTCGTCATAACCCTTCCTACAGAACAAGAAACAAAAAAAGAAGAATGAAGTTTCCGAAAATCAATGCCTAATTTTTAACCAACCTGAAATTGTTGTGTGAATTACCCTGCCTTCCCACCATAAGTGGGATTGTAATTGTATATGAGACTATCGAGCACTTCTCGCGCCACTGGCTTGTTAGAAGATTTTCTAGCTTCACTGCAATTCAAAATAAAGAAATAAAACACAAAACTAGAAGCATAACAGTGATCAGAATATGCAGAAGTAAAACAGTTTCAATTGAAGAGTAAGAACAATTCTTGAAAAGCATACTCGAGGAATAAGAATTCAACTCAATTATTTCACTTTCTACTAGTGAAATTATATTGTT